GAAGAGGGAGAGGGAGTGAGGTGTGGGGGTGGTGGGGGAAAGAGGGAAATGAGAATCACAGACCGGGAATCAAAGGGTTTCCCTGCTCCTGGGGCAGGTATGGAAGCAGCGGAGCGTCCTCCCAGTGGGTCACTGCCCCACCCACCGTGTGCGCCCCCCCAAGTGGGTATTAAAATCCAGAATACTTGAGGAGTTTGAGGTGGGGATCTGAGGATTGTTCACCCAGAGCCCAGACTTCACACTCTCACTAAAACAACCACCCCCAAAATAGCACCGACCCTGCGACAGTGCGGCGCTCCCCCAGCGCCGACCCTGCGACAGCGCGGCGCTCCCCCAGCGCCGACCCTGCGACATTGTGGCGCTCCCTCAGGACACACGCAAACCACCCTGAAAGGTGGCAGCACCCGTGGTTCCCACTGGATAGGGGCAGAGTGAGTGTGCTGGCACAAAGAGGAAAACCTCACTTCTTTCACAACCATCCCCCTCCTGCCTCCCCCAAACTCCGACAATGTCCCCAAACGGTGGGTAGGTTCGTGGGCACTGAGGTGGCAAAACCCCTCCTACCCAACCTTTCACCAGCAATTCTGGAATGCGACGTCTGAGTGGCTGGGAGGGGGGCTATGTACGATGCCCCACTTAGTCAAATAGCAAAAAGGGAACCAACGCAATTTTGGGGCTGCCCTTCGCATTCAGGGAGGGTTCGGGGGTGGGGGCTGGGCAGGGGAAAGAGGGCTTTACCTTATTCCTGTGAAGTGTGCGTGGATCTGCAGCTGTGCCTTGTAGATCTCAATGCGTTTGGTCTGGATCTCGATCACGGCTCCCATCGTTGGCATGTACTGTGCAGAGGAATGCAGGCAGTCAGACTTTCCCTGTGCCCACAATCCCCCCCTTCTTCGGGCACATTACCCCCTCTCGCACCCCTCCCCCACCCCCACCCCCACCACCACCACCCCATCTCGATGAGCTGTCTCACAGACCCTGCACAACGTTCAGGGAGGGGATCCTCTGGCACACAACATTTTGAGGGGGCCTGAGTGTGCATGAGGCCTGGAGCCCATCAGGCTTGATTTTGTACAACGGCACGGAAGGCTGGAGGGGCTGAATGGCCCGCACTGGAGTTGTACATTTGGCCTTGCCTCAGGATTGCCCGTTGAGGGACGGAGGTGGGGCCGAGGTCTTTACCACGCGTGACACCGGATCCCCGGTTCCCTCCTAACTGCCCCCTCAGGGAGTTGGGGGGGTGGGGGGGGGGGGGGCTCACAGCTTGAGCCTGTTACTTTACCGAGTCCTCTTGATAGTCAGAGTACATCTCGATTTCGACCACCTGAGTCTGCTCCACCAGGCCCGTGACGAAAAGCGGGGCATAGACCAGTGTGTCCAGAGTCTGCAGCAGCCACGATTTATAATGTAACATCGCCTGACGGGGAATAACACGCACGGGGTAGTTAGACAGTGCGCTCACAGCTCGTTCCATCCACACACCACACCCTCTACGTGAAAAATGGGGTCCCTTCTACATCCTTCCCCTCTCACCTTCAACCTCCACCCTCTACGTTTTGATCTCCCCAGCGCAGGGGAGACACACCTTGGCTACCCACACCCCTCATGATTTGATAAACCTCCATCAGGTCACCCCTCGGCCTCCCACGTCCCAGGGGAAAAAATGCCCCAGCCCATCCAGGGACAGACCGCCGAAGCTGGAGTCTGAGAATAACAAGGTGTGGAGTTGGAGCAGCACAGCAGCATTACAGGAGCAGGAAAGCTGTCGTTTCTGAAGAAGGTTCCCGACCCGTCAACTTCTCTGATGCTGCCCAGCCTCTCTTTCCTCTAGTCCCGGCAATGTCCTTGTAAATTTCTTTTCTGCACCCTCTCCAGTTTAACAACATCGTTCCCAGGACAGGCTGAGCAGAATCGTACACACTAGTCTAAAAAAAAGAGGTCTCACCAATGCTTTGTAGGGTCACATTAGGAACTCACAACTGCTGTGCTCAATGCACTGACCAAACACCACCTCCAACACCCTGTCTACCCGCGACTCCACTTTCCAGGGACTAAGCACCTGCACCCCTAAGTCCCTGTGACTGACAACATACCCCATGGGAGGACGTAACCTGCTAAGTCCTGCCTGGGTTTGCCGTTTGAAATGCAACACCTCGCATTTATCTAAATAAACTCCATCTGCCACTCCTCGGCCCACTGGCCCGTCTGATCGAGGTCCCGTTGTACTCGGAGGTAACCACCTTCGCTGTCCACTATGCCACCGATTTTGGCGTCACCCGCAAACGTACTCACCGTGCCTCCTGTGCTCACACCCAAAAGGTTTGTATAAAATGACGGAGAGGGCCCCGGCTCCTTTCCCTGCAGCAGACGTGCGTCGGCCCACGAGGGTCGCAACCCTCTGACTGTCACGCAGTGACAGCCAGCCAAGGCAGGGGCTCGTGGGCCCGGGGTCTATTCCAGGGGGAAGGGGGGGGGGGGGGGGGGGTGAGGTGGTATGAATCAAAGGAATCCAGGAACCGTGGGAATATCGGGAAGGGGGCTGCTGTTGACCAGATGAGACATTAAACCGAGGACAACCCCCACACCCCCAACCTTTAAAGCGGGTGCGAGGGATCTTGTGAACTCAGCAGGTGGAATGGCAGAGGTGTCCCCTGTGTCTTGGGGATATTATGTACTCCTCAAGTGTTTTATTTAGAAAGAAAATGGACAACGTGTGTTGTGATCACATTGCTGTTTACTGAAGCTGTGTGAAGCTCGAATGGCTCTCTCCCGTTGCATCACACAAAATCCGAGCAGTTTTTTTTTGTTGATGACCTGTGCCCGATTCCTCCCCCACCACTGCTCCCTCGCTGAGGGGACTCACTGATCTGGAAACGCTGGAGATCTCTCTCCCTTCCTTTGAGTAGCAGGTCATCTGCACCATGAACATGCCTAGGTTCTGATTGACGGGGGACTCTGGCATCAGGAGACGGAGGGAGATCCGATATGAAATTCCGTATGTCATCACCTGGAGGGAACAGAGAGAAGAGGTCGGTCGGGCGGCAGGGGGAAAGAGTGGATTGGTCAACCGGTAAACGGAAACCTTCCCTCTTTTCCCCACCCGCAGCCGTCGAAAGCATCTGTCACAGTTAGGGCCCACTGAGTGATATGCCTCAGGCAGACCGTTCGGAAGAATGAGAGGCGACCTAACTGAGGTACACATGATGTGAAAGAGCATCGATAACGCAGATGTGGAGAGGACGCTGCCGGAGTCGGAAGGTTTGAGCTACAGGGAGAGGCCGAACAGGCTGTGGGGCTATTTTCCCTGGAGCGTCGGAGGCTGAGGGGTGACCTTATAGAGGTTTATAAAATCATGAGGGACATAGATAGGTTGAATAGGCAAAATCTTTTTCCACAGGGTAGGGGAGTCCAAAACTAGAGGGGCATAGGTTTAAGGGGAGGGGGGGAAACATATAAAAGGGGCAACTTTTTCACACAGAGGGTGGTGCATGTATGGAACGAGCTGCCAGAGGAAGTGGTGGAGGCTGGTACAATTACAGCATTTAAAAGGCATCTGGATGGGTACATGAATAGGAAGGGTTTAGAGGGATACGGGCCAAATGCTGGCAAATGGGACTAGATTAATTGAGGGTATCTGGGTCAGCATGGACGAGTTGGACCGAAGGGTCTGTTTCTGTGCCGTACATCTCTACGACTCTATGCGGGCTGATCTAGAATGAGAAGTCATTGCTTTAAATCTGCTAGCCCTTACCCTAAGACTGAGATGAAGAGGATTTACATCTCTCAGGGGCTTGTGAATCTGTGGAATTCACTTCCCCCCGGGTGCAGCGGATGCTGGGGCAAAGAGTAAATTTAAGGAGGAGGTGGTCTGATTTTTGATCAGTAACGGGTTGAAGGGCAGTGGAGTGGAGGCCAAGATCGTATCGAACGGCAGAACAGACCCGAGGGCCCGAAGCTGTTCCTAGCTCGTATGTCTAGACATTCCCTCATCTCAGCTCGGCTGCACAGACCAGATCTTAAACAGAGACGGAAACGCTCGTGACCTGCTCAGTCAAAACGCTTGAAGCTCCTGATTTTTATCCTGAGTGTAAAGAGGACAAATTAATTCAGCAGCGCCAGCCTGGAGAGGAGTACAGAGAATGCTTCAAGATCATTTCTTAGAACCGATCAGAGAGCTGTACAAGGCTTAGTGCTCTGTAACGAGACTGGGTTAGTTAATAATCTCAGGGTAAAGGCACCCCCTCGAGAAACGTAGAAGAGCAGGAGGAGGCCAGGCAGCCCTTCAAACCTGCTCCGCCATTCTTCATGGTCATGGCTGATTGTCCAACTCAATAGCCTCATCCTGCTTTCTCCCCGCAACCCTTGACCCCATTCGCCCCAAGTGCTATATTGAATGTTTCGGCATCAACTACTTCCTGTGGTACTGAATTCCACAGGCTCACCACTCTTTGGGTGAAGAAATGTCTCATCTCCGTCCTAAACGGTCTACCCCGAATCCTCAGACTGTGACCCCTGGTTCTGGATACACCCATCAGCGGGAACACCCTCCCTGCATACACCCTGTCCAGTCCTGTTAGAATTTTATAAGTCTCTGTGAGATTACTCGTCTGTCTGAACGCTAGCGAAAACAATCCCGACCGAGTCAATCTCTCCTCATACGTCGGCCCCGCCATCCCAGGAATCAGCCTGGTAAATCTTCGCTGCTCTCCCTCGAGAGCAAGAGCGTCCTTGGTGAAATTAACATTGGAGCCACTTGTCGGCCAGCTCCCCCAGGCCCAGACGCAGACTTTATCCTGGGGCTCTTAAAAGAATGAGGCACGGTAATATTTTTATTATATAAATTCCCTCGATTCAGGAAAGACTCAAGTGCGACCCTTCGATTCAAGAAAGGAGGGAGGCAGAACATGGGGAACTCTAGGTCAGTTAGCCTGACATCTGCCGTGGGGAAGGGGTTAGAACTGATCATTAAAACAGGCGATAGCTGCACTTGGGAAAAAAAAACTCGGGGCAATCACTTTCCTGGTTGAAGGGGTCAATAAGAAGGTAGCATTACTTCAAAGTAAAAGGCAAGAGGTTTGGAGGGGATTTGAGCAAAGACATTTCCCACTCAGGTGGAGGTCTCGAATGCCTTTGCCTGGGAGGGTAGAAGCCTCACAACCTTGTAAAAAGGTACTTGGACGAGCGTTTAAAATGCCATAACATCAAAGAATGTAGTGTGAGGAAAAAGCAGGACTGCCGTGGGTAGAGGTCGATATTTTCGTGGCAGTATGGGCTAGATGGGTGAAGGGCCACTTCTGCACCAATTTACTGGAGTTCTTTGGAGGAGTAAGATGTGCTGTGGACAGAAGAGGAGAGGGAGTCGGGGGGGGAAAGACTGTAGATGTACCGGGAATCACAGAAGATGTGTGGGTTAGGGGGAAATCGGCCAGGCTAAATGGCCCACGGCGTGTCCCGGGGTGTGCAGGTTAGGTGGATTAACCGTGGGAAATGCAGGGTTTACAGGGCATAGGGTAGAGGGGTGTGGGTCTGGGAGGGATGCTCTTCGCTTGGGGGGCGGGCGGGCTTTGACGGGCCGAATGGCCTGCCCCCACGCTGTAGGGATTCTACAATTTGACAAGGTGCTACATCGAAGAGAGACAGCCCCTCGGTGTCAAACCACCTCGAGAAGTTTATACACTACAACGAGGCACTCTGTCCCATCATCGGGACTGGGTTGGAGAGGTTCTGAAACGCGAATGGAATTGCAGGAGAGCTCGAGCAATGCGGAGTTCATAGAATCATAGACTCCCTAGAGTGGGGAACCAGGCCCTTCGGCCCACACCGACCCACGGAGTATCCCACCCAGACCCATTCCCCTATAACCCACCTAATCTACACATCCCTGGACACTATGGGGCAATTTAGCACGGCCAATCCACCCTAACCTGCACATCCCTGGACACTATGGGGCAATTTAGCATGGCCAATCCACCCTAACCTGCACATCCCTGGACACTATGGGGCAATTTAGCACGGCCAATCCACCCTAACCTGCACATCCCTGGGCACTATGGGGCAATTTAGCATGGCCAATCCACCCTAACCTACACATCCCTGGGCACTATGGGACAACTTAGCATGGCCAATCCACCCTAACCAACACATCCCTGGACACGATGGGACAATTTAGCACGGCCAATCCACCCTAACCTGCACATCCCTGGGCACTATGGGGTAATTTAGCACGGCCAATCCACCCTAACCTGCACATCCCTGGACACTATGGGGCAATTTAGCACGGCCAATTCTTCCTAACCTGCACATCCCTGGGCACTATGGGGCAATTTAGCATGGCCAATCCACCCTAACCTGCACATC